TAGGTGAGATTATAGATTTGATTTTTATTTCAAGCTTTTTCCTTACCTAATCTTCATTAGCAATATCCCTGTAAAACAATACAATAAAAGGTATTTCATACTAATAGAGACATTTATTATACTTTCATGTGTTCCATTTCCCTCTCCATACCTTATTATTTCTAGCACTTTAGTTAAGAATAGCGATGCAAGATTCAGACTATATAATGAAATAAGATAAATCAACACCTTAAGCTTAGATACTAAACATCTCTGTAACATAATACTTCTTTATCTTTCTCTGACTCATTTTACAATTTATGCCCACCAAAATTGCCCAAATATAGATGGTTTTCAATAATTATATTAACACAGATGTAGCTATCTCGTTTTTGACGAAAAATCTATAATCTTATGAATACAGTGTCGCAATAGGCGCACATTTATATTATATTCAACTTTGCATACCCGTTTCTCCCTTATAAAACAGGTCTGCCTTGATGAGGCTCAAATGGTGGAGAGGATCACCTCCAAAACTGCAAAAATGCTTAACCAAATTCATAGTGTCAACAGATGGTGCATAACCGGCACGCCAGCTGAGAAGAGCATAGAAGGTATGCTTACGGCATGATTGTTTTTTTTGCTTCTAAGACTATAAAATATCATCATATCTTTCCTCTGATAAAGAGATATTTGGGTACTTTTATTAAGTGGTAATATGTGGCCACGAGACATGACATTGTTTCATATTCGGTTCTGGGTTCTAGTCAGGTCTATTCCGATTTAACTCATCTTGCGGGAAACGCTGTTCAAGGGGGCTTTCTTAATTCAGCTATAAAAACTTGCATATCTAAAGCCCCCTATAGTGAACATCGTTCCATCGTATAATAGACGTGTATCTGTTATCTGGTGGTAACTTTGATCAGTGTCATGCATCACAAGTTATTGTGCAGACGTCCCATAGCGTCGAGTATTATGGCTTCTTTTACTAGCTCATCTAGGAAACTATGCTATTCATTAATGAGACTGCTTTATGTGTGCTGCATTTTTTTACATCGTCGATACAAGTTCGTTTCCACGACTTTGGCTAATTTTAGTGAATACTTCTCATTAAATATAATATATAATGGGTGTTTTTTGAAAAAAGTGTTTTTTTAAAGAAGTTTTTAACCTCATTTTCGCAACTTGGCTATATTGACAGGAAGACCTAGAGGAACGCACCTTGTCCGGAGTGCATAGTACACATGATAATTTTCAAATTCAGACCGTGGACTTGGTACATTTCCAGACGTTTCGCCGGCATCATAGTCGGTATCGTCAGTGAGCCTGCCATTCTTAGCACCACACAACAACTCGTCCCTTCGACCCCGATGCATTCCTCTAGGTCTTCTTGATAATATGACCAAGTTGTAAAGGTCAAGTAACTTCTTTTCAACGAAAAGAGACCGCGACCGTGCTAAAGGCCACCTCGTCTTGGTCTTCATACTTGTGTTTTTTATATTTTTATATTTAATGTAAATATATGACCTGAGTGTTTCTTTTCTTCTGATTCTAAAAATTAATTTTGTTTACCTGAATTTCGTCAACTAGCTTACTATGGTTTTCCATTCTGTCCTCTGTTCCCTTACTGTTCCATGCCGACAGATTTCTTCGGCTTATTTGCTTTCCTTAAATTCCCTCCTTTTTCTATTCAACTCTACTGGAGAACTCTTCTTTACCAGCCTTTCCTAGCCGCCGTTTCATCTCTCACAAACCAGGAATCCAGCAAACAAAAACAGCTATTTAACGACCATAAGGATTGTAATCTGCAGAATGAGCTATCTTCGAATTCCACTAAAAGACTGGATAACGAGCTTATTCTATTTGGCGATTTTATAAAGCCTACCGGTTCCGAAAACTCAGTTCTAAGGCAGGGTGTACCGAAGAACGACAATCACAGTGGTGATGAAATAAATTCCATCGATGAAGACGAGGACAACTCTTCTCCCTCATTAGGACAACCGATCGATTCAAGTCAAGAAGATAGAAAGTTAACCAGGAGAATTGGTCGAACTGCTCTGGCGCGTGTGTTGCGTGAACTGCTTTGGCGCAACACCAAGCAGTTGGTTGGCGACCAGTTGGCTTTGCCATCATTGACTGAGCGTGTGCATTGGTCAGCTATTCTCTAAAATAATTCTAAATTGATCTTTGATAAATTAATAAAGGTTCAATAGGGCTTCACTTAGCCTAATTTATATGCAGCCCGTATTTCATAGGAAGTTAATGCATTGCATAGAGCTTAGCAAGCCTAGCTAACTAAAAGTAGGGGTAAAAAATGTACATATATAAATTTTCATAAATTCTTTCAACACATGTCACTGAGAATTTAACTAAGAAATATCTTTATCCTAAGAATTTGAGACTATCAGGAGATATTGAGTGAGAGTTTTGGAATTTTTGAAGTTATTAAGACCAAGATGTAGCTGTATACTTTCATCGTGTGTAATTGCTTTGATCTCGTTTTCGCCACTTGGTCATATTGTAGGAAAGATCTATTCGAATTCATCTTTTCTGTATTACCCTGAGTTAGTAATCATGATAATTTCCAATGTCAGACCGTAGATTTGTAAAATTCCTAGATATTTCGTCAGCATCGTCAGTGAGATTTCTTAGCTCAGAAATAAAGCTCATCAAAGAATCAAATGAAGTCTATCCGTTAAGAAACTTTATACTGAGCAAACGAAGAAATGAAGACCTGGATGGTGTGGCCTTTTGTATGGTACAGTCCCCTTTCGTTGTATGGAAGTTGTTTGACCTTATTTTTGCAACATTATCCTATTGGCAGGAAGACCTTGAGGCACACACCTAGTCC